AGTCTTCAGACATCTCTCGATTGGATAGCACCAATGGTTCTGCACGGGCCCCCCCATCCGTGCCTCATATGGGAGGTGCACAATCAAATGCTGCATCGATAAGAAGCAGGCGGGTGGAAAGATCTTCTCCAACTTACAGAGCAACACGGGTGCCACTTTTTCCAAGTCATCAATGACGGTCCGAGAGAGCTCCTTGGCACAAAGTTGGCGGAATAAGTAGCTCAACTCTGCCAGCACTTGCCAGACATGCTCCGGGACATAGCCTCGAACCATCGCCGGAAGAAGCCGCTCAATTCATATGTGGTAGTCATGACTCTTCATCCCATTGACTCGCAGAGTGCCTAAGTTAACTCCCCTCTTTAGATTCCCTGCATACCCATCAGGGAACATTAGCTTCTTGATCCATTCAAGTACTTCCCTCCTTTGGTCCTTTTTCAAGACAAAATCGGCCTTAGGCCTTCTCCAGGTCTTGCCACGACTAGAGGTTGCATCTCTTGATTTGGTCTATCGCACAACGTTGCCAGGTCTACTCTTGCCTTTGGGTTGTCCTTAGACTTTTTAGTGTCCATGAGTGTTGCCCAAAGTGCCTCGGCGACATTCTTTTCAGTGTGCATTACATCAATGTTATGTGGTAGAAGAAGGTCATCGAAATAGGGGAGCCTCGTCATGCCCGAGATATGAGTCCACATATGCTGCTCACCATATCCCACAAAACCACCTTCTTCATTGGGCACGAGAGCACCTATCTGAGTATGAACCTCGGCACCATTCATCATCCGCGGTGCAGGGTTTGTCACTTTGATGCCTTTCATAAAGTTTTTGATGTCTTGTCTGAATGGATGGTCAAGAGGTAGGAATTGACGATGTCTATCAAACGACGAATACTTGCCACCCTTCTACAACCAAATAAACCTCACACCTTCCTTGCATATTGGACATGGGAACTTCCCGTGAACACACCAGGCGTAAAATATCCCATACGCCAGGAAGTCATGCAGGGAGTAGTGGTACCAAACGTGCATTTTGAAGGTTGTCTTTGTAGCTCGATCGTATGTCCATACCCCTTCGTCCCAAGCACGGACCAATTTATCAAACACGGGCTCCATGAACACACCCATATTACTCCCTGGGTGTCCAGGAATTATCAACGACAAGAATACGTTATGTTGTTGAAAGGAGACACCGGGGAGATTAAGGGGGATAACAAAGACGGGCCAACATGTGTATGGGGCAGCCATCATTCCATAAGGATTGAACCCATCTGTTGCCAACGCGACACGTACATTACGAGCCTCATCTGCTTTGTCATGATGTTTGTCATTAAAGCGGATCCAAGCTTCACCATCGGATGGATGTACCATCTTGTCAGGATTGTACCGTTTGCCATTTTTGTGCCATGTCATCTGTTTCGTGGATTCCTCGGTCATGTATAGCCGTTGGATCCTCGGTAGGAACGGAAGGTACCATAGGATTTTCATGGGGATCGTAAGTTGCCTCTTCTGGCCATCATCAGAGTCTACCTCCAGGTACGTGGAGGATTTACACTTTGGACAGAACTTTGCATGCTCGTGTTCTTTCCTAAATAGGACGCACCCTTTCGGACAAGCATGTATCTGCTCATACGGCATCTTAAGTGCTCGAAGGAGTTTCTGTGACTCGTACATGATCTTTGGCAGAATGTGGCCCTCCGGAAGCAGGGTGCCAATCATGGCCAACATCTTATTGAAGCCAGGTTGACTCAAGTTTAACTCGGACTTCAACCCCATTAAGCGTCCAATGGCATCCAGTTGAGACACCGTTGACCGATCGTGAAGGGGTTTCTGTGCCGAGTCCATCATATCGTAGAACGCCTGTGCGGCTGCTTCCATCTCCTCCTTCTCACGTCCCTCATCGAACTGTCCTTGGTGAAAGTCATCTAACATGTCTGCTACCCCAGCATCAGCATCAAAAGTCTCCACCCGTGGTCTCACCACCTCCTCTCTCATACGATGGGCTTCACCATGGTGGACCCACCGGGTGTAGTCCGGCGTAAATCCATTCTTCACAAGATGTTTACCCATTTCCACCTTGTTTACCCTTCTCCTATTTCCACATTTGCTGTAGGGACACAAAACTAGGCAATGTCCTTTAGCAGCGTTGCCAAATGCACTGCTCAAGAAAACATCGGTCTTGTTCATCCATTCCGTGGTGTAATCACTTTGACTTCTCCAGCCCGTGTACATCCACTGACGGTCATCCATCCTCTAACATATGTATCGGCGAGTAATGTAACCATCAATTGCATCTACATGGTGTTCCTACTGTCTAATAGGTGAGGATAGGTCCTAATCCCACCCGCAGATGCGTAGATGAGGTTAGTTTCCATGCTCTACTCTTATCCGAGACATAATTTCGGCAGCACCTCCCCGCTGTTCTCCAGATACACGTCCTGCCAAAGAAGAGTGTGTATCTAGAGAACAACAGGGAGGTGATGCAGAAACTCTGTCTCGGACCAGAGCAGAACATGGAAACTAACCCATCTACGCATCCACGGGCTGTCCAAAAAGCGTGGACAATCCGAAATAGATACGGTCATAGATATGCAAAGATCTGCATACATCCAACCGTATCTCTTTCGAACGGGAGATGCCTAACTGGGTTACGCGATCTACGACAATGATACGAAAAGAGGGGTTATACCTATGGTGGCGATGGAGTCAGGCTAGCTGGGCCATGGCGGGTCGGTGCAGTGGCGAGATGACGCGGTGTAGGCAGACCGACACGGTGGCGGTGGCGAGAACTCCGACTCAACTCCGACGGGCTCTTCTCTACAAAAATGGAACAAAATACTGTCATTTACAAAAAAATTCGGCAGAACCTCCCCTGCACGGTGAGGTTTCCAAAACCTGCAAAAAACAACGGCACGATGGCCGACAAGCACATATGGCTCAACCTAAGCCATGTAGTTTGGATATCAATCCATGCAGAAGAATATATCCAAGTAGTACCACTACTTGTACTACTACTTTCACTATTGCTACTACTACTACCATTGGTTCTTCTACTACTACCACTATTGCTACAACTACTACCATTAGTTGTACTACTACTACTACCACTACTTCTTCTACTACTACCACTAATTCTACTACTAATACTACCACTAGTTGTACTAATACTACCACTAGTACAACTAATACTACTACAACTACCACAACCTCGACAATAATAAGTGAGAAGGCATACTTGACGGGCGATGGGGTAGGAGTGGGCGGCGTCGGGATCGGGCGGAGTCGGGGACGGGGTCGGGCACGGACGGCGTCGGGGCGGGCGGTCCACGGGGCGCGGCCAGGGGCAGGGCACGGCCGAAAAAAGGACATAGTTTGTAAGCATCGTACGTGACAACGTGCACGAAATCTTCTGAAATTTTTATCATAGCCTCCACATATGATATCATGACATCTCAACAAGTTTCATGATTTTCGGACTTCGTTTGCTTTTTATAGAATTTATAAACACTTCACACGCAATTTCGTGGACATGTTTCGTGAACAAGATATCCGAAATTTCGGGTCCGTTCCTGGATATGGCCTCTCACAACACTCACTAACATGACTATCAATTTTCGAATCATTAAACTCCATTATTCGTACCACGTGCAGTTCAAATTTCTAATTTCTGAAAAAAATTCAAGTAAACGAAATAAAGTAACTAAATATAAGAAAAAGCCACAAAAAATCTCCAAATTATAACTACGAGTTCCTGGTGCTTTAAAAAGGCTGCACAAAAAAATTGGAGGCAAAAAAAAAAACTTTGCCGAGTGCCGGGGCATGGCACTCGGCAAAGGGTGTATTTGCCGAGTGCCAGCCATCAGGCACTCGGCAAAGAATGTTTTAAATTTTTTTTTAAAATTTCCTCTTTGCCGAGTGCATCCACAGGAGCACTCGGCAAAGAAATAATAAAAAAAATTAAATCTTTGCCGAGTGCCGTCCCGGGGGCACTTGGCAAAGTATTTTAAAAATAAAAAAATTTTCTTTGCCGAGCGCCAGATCTGAGACGCTCGGCAAAGAATTTTTTTTTAAAAAAAATTTAAATCTTTGCCGAGTGCCAGATCTGGGGCACTCGGCAAAGAAATTAAAAACAAAAAAAAAACAAATATTTGCCGAGTGCCTAATTGCAGGCGCTCGGCAAAGAAGGCCGTGACCGGACGCCGTTTTCACGGGCAGCCTATGCCGAGTGTAGAGATTTTGCCGAGAGTCTGGCACTCGGCAAAGAAGTCCTTTGCCGAGTGCCCGGCACTCGGCAAAGAAATCTTTGTCGAGTGTAATTCTTTGCCGAGTGCAGCACTCGGCAAAGAAGGTCTTTGTCGAGTGCCCGATTTTTGACACTCGGCAAAGAATTTTACACTCGGCAAAGTCTCTGTTTTCAGTAGTGAGAGGGAGTCACATATATGAACCTTTGATGAAAATGACGTTCACTGATGGTTTGTATTACAAATCCTCGATGAAAATCACCACCAGCCTTATTTGTAAAACGGGCGGTGAAAATATCGTTGGTAAAACGGTTTTTGTAGTATAGTGTTATGGCTCGAAGATTTATATAATGGGCCATCTATTTCAATATGTATTGGAGTCGGACTTTGTACCATTGTTGTTGGGAGCAAAAACGCGTATGGTTCTAACTCGCATGAGACGGATAGAAAAATTCCTTCACTATTCAATATATTATTAAGTGTGTGTATATATATAGATTAAGACAGTATAATAGTATTAGATTATAAAAATAGATACATATATGAAATTTTACACCCACCCAGCCTTGTAAAAGGAACAGGAAGTAATACATAGCCACAGCCTTGTAAAAGGAACAGGGAGTAATACATAGCCACAAACATGTGCACAAGTTGCGCATCTTGGCTTTATTTAGTGGAACAATATAATCAAGCTACCTCATGCATCTCCCAATGAGCTATAGCTTGAGCGAGTATTGTAGTAGAGCAGGCCTCGAGGCAGCCTGAGCACTCAGCAGGCGTTGCGGCGGAATCCGACTGACCCTCCGCCGACGTTGTATAGCACCTCGATGGTCTGCTGCTGCACGTTGCCGAGGATCCCCGGCATGCGGTCATCCATGTTGGAGGTGAAGGCGAGGCAGTCGTGGAAGAGGACGCCCGACGGGTCCAGCTGCACGGTGGCGTCCCCGTCGAACACCAGCGCGACCTTGGGCAGCTTCACGCTGCGGACGCCGGTGAAGTCGTAGCAGGTGTCGAGGCTGCCTTTAGGTGCAGCCGCGCGGTACATGCTCATGCTCCTCCTGAACGAGTCGCGCAGCGCCTGGTACGCCGTCGGCGGCAGGCGCGTGATGGACGTGCGGGAGTCCAGCACCGTGCCGGAGGCGAAGACCGTGGCCGGCACGCTCAGTCGCTGCCCGCCGACGGTGATGGCCCGGAGCTGCACGCGGTAGAATGTCGCCGGCGCCCGCTTGTCCCTGAGCATGGGCGTTACCACGTACCTCGACGACGACGCGGCCCGCGGCATTCCGAGGACGAAGAAGCCGAAGTAGCTCGCCGACGGCGGGATGCAGTAGGAGAAGGCGCGGCCGTAGGTGGACGCGGTCTGGGACGCCAGCGACTCCGGGCCGCCGCCGAGCGCCATGATCCCGGCGGTGGTGTTGTCGAAGTTGCCCTGGTCGACGTGGCTGCACCCGAACTTGAAGTTGTTGATCCTGGTGTTGGGGTTGAGCGTGAGCAGGTCGGAGCTGTACGTGCCCGACGTCGACGACCCGTCGACGGGGTAGGTGACCCGGTACTGGCACTGGTTGTTCACGCAGCCGTTGGCGTAGGGGCCGAGCTGCCGGCAGGAGGGGGAGCCGCAGGAGAAGGCGGCGTACGTGGGCGACTTGGTCGGGTCGTAGAAGGTGTCCGTCTGGGGGTGGCACGGCGGCACGGGGCACGGCACGCACTGCACCCACGGCACGTCGCTCGCCGTGTCCAGCACCACCGTCTGGATCACGCCCGGCCGGAGCGGCGCCGCCCCGCTGCCGCCGACGGTCGCCGCAGGGTCAAAGCTCATCGCCGTTGAATCAGTGTCCGCCGTTGTGCCCATCTCGACTTGCGTTCTGGCCCCGGTGTTGAGCTCTGATTCATCAGTATCCGCCGGTGGCTTATCATCCTTGCTGTCGTTGGTGCCATTCTTGCTAATAAACAGCCTCCTCTGGACGTCGTCGGCGCGGCGCTGGTCCCGGCGGAGCAGCTCGGCCACGGACGGTGGCGCCGCCGCGTTCGACGACGATAGCGAGCAGGGGCCGTGAGGGAGATCCACTGGTATCCACGTGCCGTTGGGGGGCGGAATCACTGCATCATGTCATGTCGTCAAATGTAACACAACATAAACGTAAGTCCTTATGAAAAAAAAAACACGTACTCATGCATGCATGCATAAAGCAGATGGTTGCTGGAACAAATTGAATACAGCAGTACTGCAGTACGTAGTGCATGCATGCACGCATTGCCTGACGCCCTCACCAACATACCCCTGTGTCCCAAGCAGTAGGATGAGGCTTTCGGTTTCAGCGAGCTCACGGCCACTACCATGTAGTAGTCGTCTCCATGTTCATGTTCTGCTGCACGGACAAGAGGAGGAAAAGGACAAAGCAAGACAAGCAACAGTGGAGCCAAAACGAAAGCCATGGCTTTGAGTGAATAGGCTACGTATTTTTCCTGCCAAGTACTGGGCTACAGCTCAACCATGCATGGAATCAAGTTCCCATGGACTCTGCCTCTCTGGCATGGCATGGGCATGTATATATAGGCACTACAAGAGCAGCAATTAATAACTAAAGCTTGGCCCTTGCTCCCTTTACTTCGATCCTTGTTATTAGGCTATTAGCAAGCACTACTACAAAGCTAAAGATCATCGCTTGTTCTCTAAAACCATCATGGCTGCCGTTTCTTTTTCCTTTTTTTTTCAACCGCCAGTGTTTCTCAAGGTACCAATATAATGCCTGTGTTTGAACTGATAGTGATGCAGGTTTTCAAAAACAAAATTGAAGAAAAAAATTGATGATGCCATCGTCGGATCTACCCTCCCTACACCTTGCTACGTAGTAGCTTGCCGTCGCCGCCTCTCGCTCGACCCATGCAATGCTGGCCGTCGTCGCCAGGGTTGGAAAGGGGAGGGAAGGAGAGAGGGAGAGGGGTGAGATCTAAGGGAAGTAGATGTTATCCGTGAGCAGAGAGAAGGATAAGGGACAGAAAAGAGGGAGTTAATCGAGTTGAAAAGAAATTTCAGGCCCGAGACGATGGAGTCACTGCTGGTTGGTAATGCAAACCAACAGTGATATCGCTATTGGGTGTTGTATTACCAACGTCAGTGATAATTATCCATTATCATTCTCGGTTGGGTTTAAAATCCCAATGGTCATTAGCTTTTTGCTTATGAACCGGTATGATACCCTTGTCACTGTTGGTTTTAAATTATCAAGCGGTGATGTGCCAGCAAGGATTGTGCGTTGTGTACTAGTGAAGGGTCCACCACTACATTTTGTTGCGATTACTAGCTATGCCATAAGGTCTCTTGTGTGACTAATCAAGTGTAGGATTCCTTTGGTATTAACTTCTAAGTTCAATGAATATTGAATAAATATTTTGCCTACTAAACACTCTCAAATTAGAAAAGTTTTAACTATAAAGTTCTTGATCTTGTTGAGTACTACAACTTTGGTATAAAGTGTATTTTCATGTGAAGTCACTTGGAAAATTCATAAATTTGAATTTCAAAATCTAAGAACTTAAACATTTTTTTGGCACCCTAAACGATTTTAAATAAAAACATCATCAACCACAAAGTTGTAGATCTCTTTGAGCTTTAAAACTTTGATATAAAGTTTGTCTTCAACTAACTTCTTTTGATGATTAGGATTTTTTTTTGTGTTACGCCTGTTTCTAGAGGCAGATCAAATTACTATATACTCCCTCTATCCCAGATTATCTGTCACTTTTGGTTTTCATGCCGCAAGTTTAACTCGATTTGTAAAAAATACGTGCAATATTTGTATCTCTAAATAAATTTATTAAAAACTAGATTAAAAAACCTTTCAATGATACTAATCATGTACCATAAATATTTATATTTTTAATATATATTTTGTCAAAGTTGTTTCTCAAAAAGCGAAAACAATAGAAATTTTGGGACGGAGAGAGTATGTCCAAATTGGACAGCACTGTACTAGCATGGCTCTAGCACCATTAGACACGGTACAAATGGGCACTACCAGATTAGGCACTATATCCTAGTCGTGCTCGTGCTATGCCATGCCACCACGTCGTGCCCAACTCTCGGGCGCGGGCATGGCCCTACGATGTCTTAGTCGTGACATGCTAGTCAGAGCACAATGCACAAGGCCGCGCTCGAGTCATCGTCGTAGCTGCAGACCCGCACTGTTGTCGTTGTCGTTGCTGCTGCTGCTGCTGCTACACGCACGCGCCGCCACTGCTATGAGCTCCACGCCGCCGTTGTGCCATGTCCCACGCCACCGCTGCTGCTATACACCCCACGCTGCTGCCAACGCGACGCACGAGGAGCCAAGGAGGGGCTACGTAAGGTGGGCGAGGCGGGGCTGCACGCCCGCGCAAGGAGCCACAAATGCAATGGTAAATGATATTGTAAGTAAACTAGCTAGCAATGCTCGATCATGAAAGAAACTCTGACATTCATACTTCACGCACATATACACCACACATATTTTGATATTTTCTTGCTGATTGAGGGACCGATTATTTGGCTCATTACTCTCTCAGTGAAGGGTTAAACATATATAAATACTATTGACCTAACCCTCTCCATCTCAACTTTGCGTTTTCAATTAGTTAACATTCATATGCTTTCTAGAGGTTGAAAAAGGAAGAGAACATCATAAGTAAAGGACTACCATGTGTTGCCAATATCTGAATCATTGATATGTACTAACGAGATTACAGAAATATCTTTATCATGAACTATGAAATATTTCAATGAAATGACAAATTACCTAGATATGTTATACATTAGCCATTTCCTTTTCAAAATTACACACTATTTGTAACCCCCTCCCCTAGGAACCGCACAATCCCTTGGATGCTACTCCCTCCGTTCCAAACTACAAGTCGTTCGGCTTTTCTAGATTCATAACTTTTGCTATGCCACCTAGGTATTTATGTCTAGATATATAATAAAAGTTATGTATCCAGAAAAGCTAAGATAGGATGACTTAAAATTTAGATCCGAGGACACTACACTATTGTCTGAACACGTCGAACTAGTTTTATTAGTAACCTGGACAGTGCTTGCTTGCATGGTTCTTAGCGTGTTACCTTACTTATCAAGTACTCCTTAATAATTCATGATGCCTTATGTGTGTAAAGTAATCAAAGGGGAGAGGGAGAAAAAAAGAGAGGAAGGTTCAGAACGCCTAACTCTATATGGGCTACAATATGATATTGGAAGGCGAGAAACACGAGTGTATGATTCGCAATAAAGGAAGGCACTAGCATGCCTATGTATGACTCGCGATGACATACCCATTTATATATATGAAATAATATTAAGAAACACAAGTGCGTGATTGAAAAGAAAGTCGAATAAAATATATAAGTGTATGATTGTAGATGAGATCGCCAAAGGAAACCAAATCCTAAAAAGTAAGAAAACTATTCGAAAGTTCAACCTTGCAGTGTCATACTGATCTCCCATGAAATTGAAAGAAATAAAGAAAAGCTCCCTGTGTTGTTCCCCGGTGTCAGAGATGTGTAGTGCAGCAACCCATTTGTGAAGGTTACCACCTCAAACAAATCTCTAGGAACGACAAAATGACTTCTCATCCTTTAAACTAAGTCAAAAAATTTAAGTTGTTTGTTTACTTACACACGCTAATGTTTTTTTTCATTCAAAATTCTTGTAGTGGGTTTTTGTTTGTGTAGTCCCCCCCCCCACCCCCCCACCCACCACACACACACAAAAGAAGAAAAACCGCGATACTTATTTTCACCTTTTTTTAATTCATGGCTCTCCATCCAGAGAATTCTTGGCGTATCACACTAATTATCATATCATAATCGAGTCCTTTTTCTTTTGTACTGAAACATATATATGTAAACCCCATTTTATAACATGACATGCATGCCAATGAAGAGCCTTATCATTCCTGCTCTCTCCTCGATCTCTTTAGTTCCTGCCGTGACTTCCCCGGCCTTGTGCCTCTTGCCCTCCAATTATATCATTTCCGTTGTTAAATTTTGTAGGTACTTGATAAGAGAGAAACTTGTGTGTGCATGGTGAGCGCATGCAAAAGTAGTGTGCGTGGGTCAGTGCGTGTGCAAGTAAACGTAAGACAGTGAAAGGTTTTACTGTTATTTTAGAAGTATTATTTTACTGTTATTTTAGAAGTACTACCGGTAGCATGTCCGTGTGTTGCTACGAGATAACTAACAATTTGTACTTAAAATACATGGATCGCACGATAAGATAACAATACTGTAAAAATTAAATATTAACGTTAAAGTGACATTTAATCCAAAAAATAAAGTTTGTGAAATCAACACAGTCATAGAGATTGTGATCTGTGAACACCTGTTTTTTTTGTAAACAAAGCGCTAGCATGCGCCGTAGTCCACATGTTTTTTTTAATTTATTAATCTCTCGCCATCAAGCGTTCAAATGAGCGCCATGCACAAGCGGCCGTATATACAAACTTAAATGTAATATTCGAGTAAATATAAACGTGTTACACGACATTTTTCTTAAAATGTAAATCTAACAAGTACAGATGATTTTCCAGTTGGCATGTAGTGTGTATACAACATCTCCGTATAGAGTCTTATAACCAATTTAAAAATACCTAGAAACAGCAACAAATATGGCATTAGTGAGATACTATTTGTGCAATATTTAATTGAATAAAAAATACATTGTATGCGTTAGTAATGTTCTGTTACCTCGCCTATTGTGTTAGAACCTCCTTAAATACAATATGCTTCGTGAAAAGTTCCATCCACTATTGGGTCTTCTTATCCTTATCTTTTTTATTTGACGCATTCTTATTTTTTTCCCCTCAGCATTTTTTTAACATTTTTCTTCTCCATCTTTTTGGCCTCCTCCTCCTGTGCATCCACATCAGGCGAGAGGGCAAGGATCTTAATATTCGTTCTTGACGTGGCTCTAGACATCGCAACGTACAACGGACCGTGAGAGAACACCGGTGCGGGTAGGTACACACCCACATTCGGGATAGTTTGGCCCTGTGACTTGTTGACCGTCATGGCAAAGCTCAGCCTGATAGGAAACAACTTCCTCTTAAACTGGAACGGGAACATCTCGTCATCGGACGGGCATAGCGTTATTCGAGGAAGGAATACCCGCTTCCCAGCATGCTGCCCCACCACGATTTCCGCATTGATTGTATTTCTTCGGAACCCCTGCACCACCAGCCTTGTACCGTTGCATAGCCCATTGGTAGGGTCAATATTCCTAAGCAATATGACAGGACACCCGAGCTTGAGCTTCAAGACGTGTGGAGGCAGCCCGTTGGGGGTCAGACTGTTAAGGAACTCTGATGGATAGTAGTTATGTGGATCATCTACCGTGGAGTCAAAACTATGATACACCGTCTCGCCGCCCTGGAACATATCAATCATTTTTATATTGATCATGTCAA